ACTGTATTGCTGATGAAAATATTCCATTGTTCCTCCCTCTTGAAGTTCCCACAAATGATTCTTCTTAGAAATCAGACCACTTTTAAAATTTAGAAAAAGGGAAACACCTAAAGTCAAAAGAATCTCACACTCCAAAACAACAAGGGGGAAAAAACCCTAATACACAGTCTTGATTTTAAAGTTTGGAAAGGAAGAAATACTTGCTACATAATATATAAACTTGGGCTGCAATGCTATACTAATTTACAAAGCAGCAAACTCCATTACATATAGAGAGCTCTAGTTCATGTAAAAAGACAGAGGATTAGATTGTTGGATTCAAGGTATTTGGTTTACCAAAACAATATTTAAAAGGAAAGAAGGAAATATCTTCAATAAACTTACTGTGCCTCCCCAACCTTTAAGAAGGCCTAATGCATAGATTCAGATTCCCTGCATTGCCTCTTCTCAAACTGATTTAATAGCAGCTATAGATCCATAGCTTCAAAGTTACTCCATTATTATTATTAACATGCATTATTTTTAACTTAACTTGCACGGTAAAAGAGAAAATTAAATCCTGGCTAACTGGTTGCAAATGTTTCTGTTCATTTTGCTATCTTTGTTCATGAAGGAAGAGAAGGAGGAAGAAAGGAGGTAAATATGCTGTTGAAAGAGTTTATTGTGCTTATTGATAGTTAAGAATGCTCAATTGCTTCACAAAATGCCCATATAACAATTCTCTTCCATCAATAAATCACAATGAAATTCCAGTTAATTAAATGAGCATTACATCAATAAATCTTGCACTTCCTATAAACATATATAATGCAACATTTAGTTTTTATAAAGGTATATATTAAGATAGGTCAAGAAACCAGGTACTTCCTTTTATTGGATCTAATAGCACTAGATTAGAACAGGGGATTAAAAACAACATGCAAGAGAGTTTCTTCTGTACAGCTATCATGCTGATTTTGTATCATTAAAATGACTGCTAAACAAGCAGATTAGCTGATTAATTGATGATTAAGACTGCAGGAAGATCAGTCATTACATCTAAATACTTCATGCACGCGCACACGGCGCTAACTAATTGACAACCACACATGCATCAGAATGATCACTCCCCAAAAGCAATATTTCTAAAAGCGCACATAAAGCAGGAGCCCCCTGCAACCTGCTCTTCTTTTTGCCTTTTTCATGCACAATAAAACAGTTGCATTTTTAAAGTTCAAGTTCCTCTCCCAAAAACTCTGGCCGAGGGCAGGGATAGCCGGGTGCAAGAAAAAACACTTTTGCCGTTGTAAGTAAACAATTGTGTGCCCGTGAATAACCAGCCTCAGAACACAAAGACAGTGCTACTCTTACTGGAAAATACTTAAAGAATTATATTCCAGGGCAAAATATTCTGGAAGATATTGGGAATCAAGATTCCATGCTGAATGTCTGCCACCAGAAAGGAGTTGGAGAAAAGTTCCACCATGTATCAGATATATTTATTTGGTGATAGCATGGGGAGTGGGCTGCCATTCATAATATGCTCCGCTTATGTCTGCCTGAACAAAACCTGAAGCACTGCTTATTGCCCAGCAGTAAACATCATCTTCTGCACTACACAAATGACACACATCCTGATTCCTTTCACTACAGCCGGCTATTTTAATGCAATTTCTCTTCTTGCAGAGGAATGGCAACCAGACACACAAGCTATGCGTACCAATCACATCTTGTCACAATTATCACACAATAACACTACATTACCCTGCAATCCCTGGGCATGAAACATAATCCATTCACAAATATAAAAGCTACCATAGCTCCCACCACATTTTAGCTTGCAGCACAGTGATGCTGTCTTCTCAGCTACAACGGAGGAGGAGAGAAGCCCCTTAAAAGTTGGTTACAAGGAACAGCTCATTCTCCTATGAACAGCAAGCAGGCTAGTAAAGAAAACTAAGAAGTTATCAAGAGGGTCCTGTAAAACTTCACCTCTGAGTCATTTTTGAAAGTTATTTATTTGTTTGTTTAAAAAAGTTATATCTGACCTGAATTGTCTGTGGCTTGTATCCTATGACACAACTGCTTAGAGTAAAAAGTTGGTTACAAGGAACAGCTCATTCTCCTATGAACAGCAAGCAGGCTAGTAAAGAAAACTAAGAAGTTATCAAGAGGGTCCTGTAAAACTTCACCTCTGAGTCATTTTTGAAAGTTATTTATTTGTTTGTTTAAAAAAGTTATATCTGACCTGAATTGTCTGTGGCTTGTATCCTATGACACAACTGCTTAGAGTAAGGATTCACATGTTGAACACTTGTCAGAAAGAAGC